ACTAACCAATCTTTACGTCCAATGTTAAACCAGTCCAATTGGATCAAACAAAGTTTAGATCCAAAACCTTTTGGATGATATAGATGGTCCCGGATTTTCTCATCGTTCGGTGTGCATGCACACATAGTGATCGACTCCACAATTAGACCTCTAAGCATCATAAGCCATCTAAGTAAAAAGATGTTGGATTTTAAGGATGTGAAATAAGATTCTAGTACAGTATGATTTAACGGAAATTGTAATTTCCGAACGTTCTCACCTTGTCGATAGATCCAAACAAGTTCGGCTCGAGCGCTCCACCTTCGGCGCGCTTTCCAATGTTAGCAAAAAAATGACCCATGGTGGGATTTGATCCTTGCACCTGCAACATGCATTCTGCTAATGGTAACCAACCAAGCTAACTATTATCTACAATTAGGGATATGTTACATCTCCTTTTATCGTATCACTGCTCCTTTGCATGTACACCCAAGAAACTAGGAAAAAAATTGATGTGTGTGTGGGGTGCCTTTGGACTCGGACCTGAGTCTCTCGTAACTAAGCTCTGCCCATTAACCAGCTCATTTTCTTTTGTAGGTATTAACCAGCTCACTTAAATTACTTCTGTTGTCTTGCCCCTAATTTATGCTTTTAAATAGCCTGTTGGTTATAATAGGCAGTTTTCATAAATAGTATTAAAAACGCTATTGTGTCTTTCCACTATAGTAGTATGTCTCGTTGTCTTGCTCTCATTTCTACCTTGTCCGAGGAATGTAAATAATGGGTTGGAAAATTAAGAGGATTGAAATGGGAGCACGTAATCCTTGCTCCCATAATGATAGCATGTTCCTCTCCATTTCAGGACCAGGAGCACGCAACCAATGCATGTCTCGGGCTCCTGGACTTGATAACTTAGGTACATAAATCACGATAACTTTGCCCCGTGGCTAAAAGTTGTTGAAAACATAACCACCCATAACTCTTTGTAAATAGCATGATAATATACACTCCCGGACTTGATAACTTAGGTATAAACACCACGATAACTTTGACCCATAGAAAAAAGTTATTGAAAACATACTCCGGTAACATCTGTGTAAATAACATGGTAATATAGGATTCCGGACCTGATAACTTAGGTACAAACACTACGATAACTTTGACCCGTGAAAAAAAGTTGTTGGAAACATACTCTGATAATGTTTTGTGTAAATAACATGATAATATAGGTTCATGGTCTTGATAACTTAGGTACAAACACCACGATAACTTTGACGTGAAAAAATTTGTTGAAAACATACCACCGATAACTTCTCGTGTAAATAACATGAGCTGATAACATGGAAAAATGTTATTAAAAATACCCCCCCCCCCAATAAATCATGTGTAAACAATATGATGATACATGCACATGAGAGTTGATAACTCATATACAAATATCACGGTAATTTTTTGACCAAGGAAATGAAAAATGTTGGAAAAGATGCCCCCGATAACTTTGGTGTAATATGGTAATATACACAACAAAACTGATAACTCACTGCAAACATCATAATAATTTTTTGACCCCTGAGATAAAAGTTTGTTGAAAACATACCCCTGAAACTTTTGTGCAAATGACACGGTAACTTATGTATGACAGACGTGATAACTCACGTAGCCCGGATGTGGTAACTTTTGGTCCAAAAAAAAATTCATCAGAACATATCAACATGGGATCTAGTTTCGAAGATCTCGTCGAGATGAATTTTTTTGTGAAGACGGGTTTTCAATCGGGGCGACGGTTTGAGCTACAAAACATTTTGAAGTTTGAAAAAAAGAAAGAATTTAAGATGACATCTGCTTTTCGTTATTTAGTGCATATATGCATGAAATTAGAGAGGAGTGCACGTGGAAGAAAAATTAGTCATTTTGGAGTGCACGTGGAAGAAAAATTAGTCATTCTAATGCATTCTAATGCATGCATGTATATAATTAGAGTGAAGTAAGGATTGTTCTTGCCTATTGCTAAAATCCGAACGTTTAGTAGTTATAAAAATCCATATTTAATATGATACGACATCACAGCATGTCAAAAAAAACTGATATAAGAAATACTCTCTCCATCCGGAATTAACTGTCAGTGAAATGAGTGAATCTAGAGGGAGGTAGTAGATAACAACCACAGCTTAACTGTCGGTGAAATGAGTGAATCTACAGGGAGGTAGTAGATAACAACCACAGCTTAATGGAATTCTACAAATGATATGATCTAGACGGACGTAGTAGATAACAACTTATTGGGATTCTACAAATGTTATGATACTATGAACTGGGGAGGTAATATCATGAGGCACGTAATGATCTAGACGGAGGTTACCATGCCAAGTTGTTCAAGATGACTCTTTTGAGCCATTTGCATGGTAAAGCTAAAGGTAAAGTTACTGGCTAATAATCTTTCAAGGGCCCTAAATGAAGAGAATGGCATACCCTGGCACATCTAACGCCAGTCAAGATTAAGGGACAAGACCAATAGATCATCTTTAGGCAATCTATCTTCCAATATTAATAACTGGCGGTTCTGCATAAATCCAGGGCTACAGGAAAGCTTGACTAAAGGGAAAACGTTGCTGTAAATCGAACAAACTACACAAAGCACTATTGTCATTGGAAAAGAGATAATTTATGCTGCCGCGTCATAGTCCTCATCAGCAAACTTGTTCTCGGGGTAGAAGACCGCAACAACTGGGTTTCCACCGAATTTCCTTCCGTGCATCGCCGTCTTTGCTTTGGTGGAACCATCAACATCTGCATACTCTAAGAACACCTGCAATGGGATGCTCATGCATCAGAAAGCTTTTCTCCAACAGAATTATTCTGCGGAATTTGAACCTCACTAAACAGTGCTCACCTTTCCAACTCCAGAAACTGGCTCTCCACTCGGATGAGGGCGCGGGATGACAACTTTCACCAAGTTACCTGACGGATGCATGCGTCAAACAAAGTATTAGGAATGTCGAACAGAATCAGCTAACAGAAAAGCAGAAGTATAGATCAAGGCAGAATGACAGGGAGCCCGACATGGCAGGCTAATGAAAACATACGCATAACAAAAGGAAACCTTGAGAGTCCGCAGCAGATCAGAAAGCTAAATGTATGCTTCAAAGAGGAGGAATAGCAGGCGAGAAGTTGACGGAACTTACCATATTTCCCAGCTTCCAACCTCATGTCCTCCATAATGTCCTCATATTCTTCATCATCTTTTAATTCATCAGCAGTAACTACCTGGGTCAGGCATACAACCTTTGTAGGGAGCGCTCCAACTTGATACACAAGTTTCTATACAAAAACCACATTTTGAGTCAGAATCCAAGAACAATTGCAGACATGCTATGTAATTTGGTACAAGAGGATAATTAGTTGGCCACAGGAAAACAATTAAATAGCTGGGCTATACCTGTAACTGCACCTGCTGCTGTGCCTGCAACAGGATATTTTCCTGCTCTGGTCTAGGTTGGGCTGAGCCCTGGTTTGCTCGTCTGACCGTAAGAGTTTTGTCTCCCATCTTGATACCATTTAGAGCAGCGCAGGCTATGTCAGTGACATTGAGGTCCTGGTAGACACAGAACGCATAGCCCTTTGAGTTACCAGTTTCCCTATCTTTCACAAGATCAAATCCTCGAAGAGGCCCAAATGATTCAAGCAGCTCCCGAACTTGAGCCTCTGTGAAGTAATAGGGGAGACCACCCACAAAAATACGGTCCGGGCCTTCTAACCCTCCGGCTGAACCTGGTGTTAGGCCAACCGCAGCAAGATTCAAATTGGAGCTTGGCTGGCTTGGGCCCAGGGCAGCTGCCAGAGAAGGGTTATAGTCTGTTGGTCTTCTAACCTTCACTGGTGCACCTTCAAATAAAATGCCATCCAGTGCCATTGCATTGCTTGCTTCCTCCACAGACCTCATCTCCACAAAAGCGAATTTCTTGTCATGGTTTATGTACACATTAAGAACAGCATCACCTGGACCAGCAGTGTTTCCTCCAATAGCAGCCATGACTTGATTAAAGTATATTGCAACAGACTGCACAAAAGGAAACCAATGTAACCAAGAATTGCACAATTGTATGCAATCAGCATGCACGCATGCATGCTTGTTTTTCACTGTGGATTTATGGGGATTTGGGCAGTGGGCAGTAAAATAAGTGATTCAAGTATATATATAGACCTGTTCATTAGCAGATGGGGGAAGGCCACCGACATAAACACGCCGAGCATGCCGAGTAGCCTGAGGAAAAATATGCTGGCAAATTGTTTATCAACACCCACAGTAAATTATAAACAAAACAAAAAAGCATACCTGTTGAGTCATGGCTTGTGGCTGCATGACGAGGGGATTGAACTGTTTTAAACAAATAGATTTGATTACAAACCAGAAATGAGTGCATTTATAGAATGAAAATAACAAAAACGTAACTGAGGCAAAAGGTTCATTCGACAGGAAGACCTTAAACCATCAAGAATAATCACCTGTCCAACAGCAAAAGGGAGCATGTTCGGGAACATTCCAGGAATAGAAGAGCCCGGTAACTGACCTGCAATGTACCAATAAATTTCTAGTAGGAAGCATAAACAATTAGCACAAAAGAGTATTCCTCTTGTAAACCTGATTACTTCTCACCATCAGTCTGGATCTCAAATGGATCCAGCTGTGCAGTATTTCATGTCAAAGAACAAACAACAAGTGTGGAAGGATAAATGTAATAGTCATGAAGCTAGCAATCTGTAATACTTGCTAGCTGAAGATGGACAAGACGATATCAAACCGGAGCACTGATTCCTCCTTGTACATTAAAGCTACAGTAGGCTGTGCATCCATCGGCGGCAGTGGGGCAAGTGACCCAAGATTGCCTTCTTACCATACACATACACAAAACAGACAAACAACAAAAGAACAAAAGCAGAAAGTTTTGCTCAGTTTTCAGTTACCAAGTAATAATAAAATGGAAACATACAACTTATTTGCATCAGAAGATACTATCACACATATAAGGCCATCTCGACTGGACGGGTATTTAAGAGGTGCTTACGTAGAGAAAGCATCTGTTGACTGGTACTTTCTCCCACCTCTAATACCAGTATCTTACAAAGCACCTCATATGGTGTTGTAACTAGAATAAAATAATCTTTTTTACCCTCTCGCCTTATTGGTGCAGTTCTAGGTAGATTCCATGAAGCATCTTTAACTCTTTAAAGTGTCTGTATTGTAGTTACAGATGCATGTAAAGGTGCTTGGTGATATGGCATCTCCAAGAATATATCTACAGTGAAAATGCTCTAGATAAAGGACATAAAAGCATCAGGTGCTCAATGATATCCAACAGCACTAAGTTTCAAAATCAGCATTAGAATGGTGATAAGCTAAGAGGCTATGGTAATTGTAGTAATAAAGTACCACATCCGGTTGTTCATAATGCAGTAGTACAATTTGGTGGAAATAAATGGCTGGGTAGGTGATCCAGCAATGGCTAGAATTTATTCATTCCAAACATGCAAATGAACAGCATTTACCCTAGTTTCAAGACAAGAACATCTGTTCTGTAATTAAAGTAAGTCCCAACTGAAATCAACAAAACTGAAGAATGGAAAGAAGAAAAACTTGGTTGGTGAGAGCATACTTGGGGTTGGAATGGTAGGGAACTGAGGAAGTACGGATTGTGCTGTTGGTCCCAGGTCGAATCCACTGACTCGCTTGCTGCTTCAACACAATCGGTATTAGTAGTACTAATGAGATATTAAAATTAAATGATGGAAGAACTGAAAACTGCATGAGACAACAAATTGTAGTAGTGAGTGCTGAGTGGTACATGCACGGTGAAGGGTATTAGTTGCTACATAGTGTAATACTTACTCAATTTTATAATATAAATAATCTTACAATTCATTTCAAAAAGTTGACTTAGTGCATGTTTTTGTTCCTTTGATTGCTCATGCTCAGACAGGATTGTTCTAGAAGCATAGAGCAAACAGGTCTGCACTGTAGCCATGAACCCATTTATGTGCAAGCATTGCACTGTATTGACAGTACATAAAGATCTATAGACGCGGTGTGGCACAATCCAGTGCAACCGCCGGAGTTAGTCCAACGGCCAAGGCCACTAGGATTTGCCGCTTCTTCGCCATTGGATATTCAAAGGTACTGGCAGACTATATGGTAGTGCAGATATAGATGTAACAGAGAAAAATAATCATCTCTTGATTAAAATACTTAGCTAGAAAACTCAAATGTGCATTGACATGGCTCAAAAGGACAGAACACAAATCAATAATGAATCATACGACATACAGAGAACATAATAAATGGTATATGTTTAATAGCAAATTGACTTGCCATGAGGGGAAAACTAGTGTAAAGTATGTACACAATTCAAATTATGATTCCTGAGTGAACTTCATCACGTCCATACCTTTTTGAATGAGATCGAGATCTGTGATCATCCCTGCCCCTTGAACGAGACCGTGAACGAGAGCGATGCCTGCGATGTCCATCTCTCTCGCGGTCCCTTCTCCTGTGTGTTGTTACAAACATACATTAGATATTATCTTTTACACGGCATTTAAGAAAAAAAATGTGCATTTTGGAAATCTATCACCGTGAATAAGACATGTTTGGTTAACATTTGCACTGGCAATCATATTCAAAGGTCAATAATTGTAACACAAGTCACATGACCATAATAGCCATCATTGCAACAAAACAAATTATTAGGTGCATATGGAACATGGTTTTCGAGTCGTGACTCATGCGAGTCGCTCTGGGGCAGCGACTCGGAAGAAATCGAGCCTGCGTTGTGACTAGTCGCGACTCAGAGTCGCGAGTCGACACTAAGCTGAGTCGACCATATTTTTGTGACTCATAGACTAGTCGTCGACTAGTCGTGACTAGTCGAGCGAATCAAAATCCATGATATGGAACACAAATGCATTAACAGCTATACCCTCGAATGCACCGATACGGATACGGGTATCAGTATCGGGCCAATACGGATACGTAAATTCGTCATTTTCAAAAAGTGCCAATACGGATACGTTGTAGGTACTCAAAGCCATCTGGAGGAGATAAGAATGATAGATCTTCAGAGATTAGAGAAGAAAGAAGAGGAGATGAGCTTGGCTGGGCAGGAGAAATGGAGAAGAGAAGTGTCCATACATGGCTGTTGCGTGTGAGGGGACGTTGGAGAGTAGGAGGAGGAGCTCGTCGCCGGCTAGCCGCCACTGCTGCTGGCCCTGGGACCTGGGTGAGCAGCTGCTGGCGACACAGCTGCCGCCTGGTTGAGCATGGGAGGGAGGAAAGACGCTGCAAGGGAAAGGATGGGGGCATCGGGGCACTAGGGTTGCTGGTTGCTTCTTAATTGGGCTGAGGGGGCTCTTACCTGGGCTGGAAAAGTATCCAAAACATACTGGCGAAGTATCCTTAAAGTATCGTCATTGTTTTAAATCAATTATTCTCGGATACTCCAGCGATACGTATCGGGGACGTATCGGAGGAGTATCGGTATCGGATACGGTATCCGATACGGATTCGCTAGTCGGCTGAAGTATCCGTGCATTCGAGGCTATACCTTTCAGAATCACGGCTTCTGTGACGATCGTGATCATCAGGACGGTCTCGGTGCTCCCTTTTGTCACGGTGATGCCTTTGGTGACGATCCCGATCCTTGTCCATGTCCCGATCCTTGTCTAGATCCCTGTCCCGACCCCGATCTCTGTCTCTTCCTCTATCTCTGTCACGGTCCCTATGGCGCTCCTTATCCTTGTCTTTTTCTCTGTCTCGATCCCTGGATTTTGACAATCCCTCTTCACGCGTATGTGTATCACCCTGGAGATGGAATGCTATTAGTTTGAGAGAAACCATATAGAGAATAGAGACACAAGCCAGGCACTATAAGTAGAGCATCTGAATGGGAGAACATAAACAAGACATCCAGAAGATCAATGGCCCGGTGCCAGTGTATCCATGCACACAGGATTTTGGTTAAAGTCTCAATGACCAGGTTGCTTTTGGTTAACGCTAACCTATATTGGACGGCTGCATCAACCAACAGGTGTATGCTTAAGTAACTCTATAGATGCACACGTATATCAACAGAGCCGCCCTAGTCACACAAGCAGTTCCAGCTCATATTGTAAGTCTATGGTACATGAAAGCAACTCTATTACTGATGCCCCGAAAATCAAATCAACCAACCCAGAAATCAAAACAAAAACACTTGCTTCTACACGCCAAATTCGACATCCCCCGCCAACACTAACCAAACGGCAAATAAACGAACTAATCTACCACAGAAAGCTAGATCAATCAAAACGCGCCAGCCCGGCAGTTGGTTCCACCGGCTCCTCCCGCGACACTGCCACATCTAGATCGAACCCGACGGACTCGGGAAACTCCCCCGGGCTGTTGAATTAACGCTACACCAGATCAAACGAGCACAAGACGCGTAAGCTCTTGGAAACTAAAGGTACAAGTACTGCTAAGCACCCATGGATCGAGTGGGACGGAGGGTCGCGCCGCCCCACGAAGCAGGTATGGTGCGGAGATGGGAACCCGTGACAGCAGGGAGATCAGGTGGTTACCTCGGGGCGGACGGCCTCGCTGACGTAGTCGTCGCCGCCGCCGCCGTTGTCGTCGGCCATCTCGCGTCGAGGGGGTCTGGAGGGGGAGGGTTTGGGGATCCGGCGTCCAGGGTCAGGGGGTGGTTTTTTGGGTCTCTGGCCTGGTCGCCAATCTTAAAGCAGACCTGCCGGTGCACGCTCCCGTCTTCTGTCGGTCCGGTCTGATCTTGCAGCACCTGGACTGAAAGTACGGATGTAAGCGGATTATAGATTTTTTTATAAAGAGAATATATATTAATATCACAGAGATATCAATTGTAAACGAATTAGATGCAATTGGGTGATGCTTTTTTCATATCCTTTTTGTCATTATGAATACTTAGTGATGCCATTTAGACTCACTAATGCATCTGCTACCTTTCAATCTTTAATGAATCATGTTAACCATATGTTTTTTTATTGTATTCGAAGCGGAGCGGATAATTTGTATATGGATCGTTTCGGAGAGAAAATGAAGCGGAGTCGGACTGGAAATGGACTTCGACGCAATTATATTTCACGCTTTCTGCAGGCACATCAAGTTTCATTATATAAAAAAATACCAAAAAGTCAAACTATTGAGCTTAATACTTATTTGCAAAAATGTCGATTACTCAGACACCAGAGAAATATGTAAGAGAGTATTGTGCTTCATTCTTGGACTCAAGATCTCTCATAGTCTATCCTATCAATTATGTCACTGAGTATTCAATTGACTGCGATCTAATTCATGAAGTCAAGAAACATGTCTTTATAGAACTGAAGAGGAAGACCCTCAAGCACATCTTATGTTTTTTATACTTTATCTGGGACTTTTAAAATCAAAGATGTGTCTCGGGGAAAAAAATAGTGAGACTTCAAGTTTTCTCTGAAAGATAGGGCAGAAGAATGGAATAACCCGTTGTCATATGACAACATAACCAATTGGAAAATGCGTACCAAGACATTTATGGCTAAATTCCTCCCTGGCTTTAAGCTTACGAAGCTCCAAAGAAATCTTACTTCAATTGTTCAAGAACTGGAAGAGAGTTTGTCTGTTGCTTGGGAGAGATATTCTAAATTTATGAAATCTTTGCCCTAACTACAGTTTTTACTTCATATGTTTTATCATGGAGTTAACGATGAATCCAAATCTACTCTTGATTTGAATGCAGGTGGATGGTTCATGGCATTAACTCTTAAAGAAGGAAAAATATACTCATCGAAAGAATTGTGATTGCTAAAGAGTAATGGAATTTTGAGGAACCTGTTAAGCATGCATGAAAAATCTACTACGTTGATCATGAAAAAGTGGATCGATTAACATCTATGAGCAGGAAGATGAGCTCAGGGGACAATGAATAAATTTAAGCTTCACCAAGAGGATTTTAATGAAAAGGTTATATCTTATCTCTCTCAAGAGGTGGACAATTTAAGTCATGCCACGAAAAATATTGATAAACATTTTCGCATGATAAAAACTCAATGCTCACAAATACATGAAACTCAATTTTTAATTCTTGCCCAACTTGATAAAGATAGCCTTATTTCTTCTAAATGGACAGGTACTCAAAGTGGTAAAATGACATAAGACCCCAAAGGACCTGAGTGGCATGAAAGAGAACAAGCATTGAAGAGGAAAGAAAGTCAGAGTCAAACTCAAGAAGATGAAAAAATCTTCCATGTCTAAATAGGAACACCCCCACTGCCTTATTTTCCTGACTTCTCATGCTTCCACGTCACCCTTTTAATCTCCCAACGTTCACATGTGTTCGCTACGTCGGATTCTGCACGAAGTTGCTTCCCTTTTTTTGGAGATGGGTTGTCTGAGCCAGTTGTGGGCTATGGTGGGGAGGAAGTTGAAACTGGAAGCCCATGGCAAAGAAAGAAGTAGCTTATGTCCATGGGAATCTCCTCCTATTGTGTGTGTCTCTTATCGTTGGTACATGACCTGACCAGTTTCCTAGCCAGCCATTGTCGTTATGGCACTAACCCTTTCGGCGCAACGACGCACCCTCCCCTGGCCAACTCTTCAGCCAGTCGCCATGCCCGATGCTCACCCTACCAGCTACTGAAAGTGCGTTATATCGACTAGAGGGGGGTGAATAGGCGATTTTTATGAATTCTTCACTGAGGAGTTTGCTGGTGAGGAAATTCCTTAGCGAAGAACTACTTGCAGCGGAATAAGTACTCAAAAGTAAACATAACAGAACACAAGCATAGTCATCATGATGAAATGAAGACAAGCACAGAGTACAAAAAGCGTAAACACAGGATAACATAGGATGAAGACGGACAGACTGAAGAAATTGAATTGAGAAGATTGAGAAAATCTTCAGTCAAAGTCTTCAAACAGATATGAACAAGCACACAACAACTGAACTGAGGAAATGAAAGAGTTGAGGAAATAGAACCAGTTAGCTTGGTGAAGACAATGATTTGGTAGACCGGTTCCAACTGCTGTCTCAGTTGTACGTCTGATTGGAGCGGCTAGGTATTTAAACCTGAGGACACACAGTCCTCACCGTATTCTCCTTGAGCTAAGGTCACACAGACCTCGACCAATCACTCGTGGTAAGTCTTCAGGTGACTTCCAAACCCTCACAGACTAGGTCACTCGGCGATCCACAATTCCTCTTGGAAGCTCTAGACTATGACGCCTAACCGTTTGGAAGAAGCACAGTCTTCAAAGGTAACAAGCATCGGATCCACGCAGGATCAATCTCTTCAGTGATGCTCAATCACTTTGGGTTGTAGGTGTGTTGGGTTTGGGTTTTCCTCACTTGATGATTTTCGCTCAAAGTCCTCGGAGGATGGGATGCTCTCAAATGACAAGTGTCAGTTTCTCTCGGAGCAACCAACCAGCTAGTGGTTGTAGGGGTGGCTATTTATAGCCTAGGGAGCAGCCCGACATGATAAGACATAAATGCCCTTCAATGATATGACCGTTAGGTGGGTAGATATTTTGGGACAGCTGGCGCATAGCACAGCAACGGTCGGAAATTTGGCTCTCAAATTCCTCAGGGCTATCATGTTCCTCACTGTGTAGGCAATCCGCACTAGCGAATTCCTAACTCCTCAGTCAGAACAAATTCCTCAGCAACCAAAAGAACTCCGTCTCTGTTACTGGAACTGTATGAGATTTCCAATGGATTCACTCGAAGGGATTGGTAGGTGTAGGATTTTGAGTTGAGCATCACATGGAAATTTTTCCTTAGTATTTCCTCTACCCCCTTTAACAGTACGGTGTTTCCTATGACTCAAAAAAGAGAAAATGAAACTACGAAAACAGAAGTCTTCACGCTTCATGTTCCTCAAATGATTGCCAAGTCTTCAAGGTCACACCAATTTCTTCACTTTCAAATGTTGGGGAACGTTGCAGAAAATAAAAAATTTATTCGCTTCACCAAGATCAATCTATGGAGTCATCTAGCAACGAGATAGAGGAGTGCATCTACATACCCTTGTAGATCGCGCGGAAGCATTCAAGAGAACATGGTTGAGGGAGTCGTACTCGTCGTGATCCAAATCACCGATGATCCTAGTGCCAAACGGACGGCACCTCCGCGTTCAACACACGTACGATTGGGGAAGACGTCTCCTCCTTATTGTTCCAGCAAGCGGGAGGTAGAGGTTGATGGAGATCCAGTAGCACGACGGCGTGGTGGTGGAAGCAGCAGCGATCTCGGCAGGGCTTCGCCAAGCTCTACGAGAGGGAGAGGTGTTGCAGAGGGAGAGGGAGGCGCTAGGGACTTGGGTGCGGCTGCCCTCCCTCCCCCCTCTTTATATAGGGCCAAGGGGGGCACCGGCCCCCTGGAGATGGGATCTCGAGGGGGGGCGGCGGCCAAGGGGGTGGCTTGCCCCCCAAGCCAAGTGGGTTGCCCCCCACCCCTAGGGTTTCCAACCCTAGGCGCGGGGGGGCCCAAGGGGGGCGCACCAGCCCACCAGGGGCTGGTTCCCCTTCCCACTTCAGCCCATGGGGCCCTCCGGGATAGGTGGCCCCACCCGGTGGACCCCCGAGACCCTTCCGGTGGTCCCGGTACAATACCGGTGACCCCCAAAACTTTCCCGATGGCCGAAATGGACTTCCTCTATATAATTCTTCACCTCCGGACCATTCCGGAACTCCTCGTGACGTCCGGGATCTCATCCGGGACTCCGAACAACTTTTGGGTTACCGCATACTAGTATCTCTACAACCCTAGCGTCACCGAACCTTAAGTGTGTAGACCCTACGGGTTCGGGAGACATGTAGACATGACCGAGACGACTCTCCGGCCAATAACCAACAGCGGGATCTGGATACCCATGTTGGCTCCCACATGTTCCATGATGATCTCATCGAATGAACCACGATGTCGAGGATTCAAGTAATCCCGTATACAATTCCCTTTGTCAGTCGGTACGTTACTTGCTCGAGATTCGATCGCCGGTATCCTAATACCTCGTTCAATCTCGTTACCGGCAAGTCACTTTACTCGTACCGTAATGCATGATCCCATGACCAACCACTTAGTCACTTTGAGCTCAATATGATGATGCATTACCGAGTGGGCCCAGAGATACCTCTTCGTCATACAGAGTGACAAATCCCAGTCTCGATCCGTGTCAACCCAACAGACACTTTTGGAGATACCTGTAGTATACCTTTATAGTCACCCAGTTACATTGTGACGTTTGGTACACCCAAAGCACTCCTACGGCATCCGGGAGTTACACGATCTCATGGTCTAAGGAAATGATACTTGACATTGGAAAAGCTCTAGCAACCGAACTACACAATCTTGTGCTATGTTAGGATTGGGTCTTGTCCAATGATGTGATCCCGTTATCAATGACATCCAATGTCCATGGTCAGGAAACCGTGACCATCTATTGATAAACGAGCTAGTCAACTAGAGGCTTACTAGGGACATGTTATGGTCTATGTATTCACACATGTATTACGATTTCCAGATAACACAATTATAGCATGAATAAAAGAAAATTACCATGAACAAGGAAATATAATAATAACCATTTTATTATATCCTCTAGGGCATATTTCCAACAGTCTACCACTT